TAGGAAATTCATTGTGAAGCATTTACGTTTGCTATACACATAGATAGGAACGTACTGAAATTGGGATTTTGTGATTTTTGTGGCAGCTGCCCCATGGGGTGGGTGTAGTGTGGCTCAGTACAGCGTTGTGCACCACCTGGGAGCTGGGCCTGAGCGAAGCTGGGCTCTGGCTGACAGGCGGAGCTGCCCCAGCTCCCAGACAGCGCGCAAAGCCCTGTTGAGCTGTGCTGCACATGTGCAATGCGACAGATGCCGCGCAGGTGCCAAGTGGTGGAGAGCAATCCCCACTGCCCCATGCTGCGTGGGGGGGGTTCTGCCATGAGCACCCAGAGGCCCCAATCACTGCTACAGTCTGTGGGTGCAGGCCTTTTTCTTTTTAAAGCGTCGGGAGGGTGGGGCTGGGCAGGGCAGCCACGAGGGCTTCTCCCATGGCTCTTCTGTCTGTGTCTGCCTCTGCCCTCATGGGGGGAGCCGCAGGAAAAGCCCCCACAGCTGCCCTGCCTGGCCCCATCCCCCACCCAGCTGCAGCCTCTTGGTACTTAAAATAAATAAATAAATAAATAAATAAAGCTCTGCACTCACTGGCTGCAGCAGTGGCGATTGGGGCCTCTGGGGGCTCATGGCAGAGCCCCTCCCCCACAGCACGGGGCAGTAGGGATGAGGCCCCAATTGCTGCTGCTGCAGCCGGTGAGTGCCGGGTTGTTGTTGTTTTTTTTTAAGTTCTGGGAGGCTGGGGCTGGGCAGGGGGATGGGGGCTTCTCCCTTGGCTCCCCCCACCCAGGGAGAGGTATGTACAGCTGGAGAAGCCACGGGGGAACCTGCAGCCACGCAGCTGTGCCTGCTTCTCCTTGGCTGATCCGAATCAGCACCAAAACAGTGCTGAAACTCTGAAACAGATTTGGCCAAACTGAAATGGAACAGTGATCTGAAACAAATCACTGTCCCTTCGAAATGGCCAAATCTGAAACGGAAATGAAACAGCCATTTTGCACAGCCCTGCTGTTAATACAATCTAGTATGCTGTTGACCCCTTTTCTGCAACAAGAGCACACTGTTGGCTCATATTCAGTTTGTGGTAACACCTCCGAACCTTTGCAGTACTGCACCCTACACAGTCATTCACCAATCTGGATTTGTACATGCGATTATTCTGTCCCAAGTGCAGGACTTTACACTTGTCCTGGGTGAGTTTCATCTGGTTGATTGTAAACCATTTTTCTAGTTTATACAAGTAATTCTGGATTGCTGCTATACCCTCTAGAGCATGTACATCTCCATCCAACTTGCTGTGATCTGTAAATTTGTTGCATGTGCTCTCAATCCCATCACCCTAATCATCAGTGAAAATGGTGAATATCAAACCCAGAACAATACCAGACTCTGGAGAACCCTGCTTGATACTTCCTCTTAACTAGACATTGAGGACTATTACTATAAATTTGTCCTCCTCCCAATTTGCCAGGAACAGAAATTGAAATCTAGAGCCTGTAGCTCCCCCTAGAGCCCCTTTTAAGGGCTAGAGCTACACTGGCAACCCTTCAGTACTCTAGCACCAAAGCTGTATTTCACAATAGGCTGCATATTGTAGTAGTTTCATAATTTCAGATTTGAACTCCTTCATAGAATCAGAGAAAATTAGGATTGGAAGGGACCTCAGCAGATCATCTAGCCCAAGCCCCAGTTTAAAGCAGGGCCACCCCCAACTAGATCATCCCAGCCAAGGCTTTGTTTAGCCGGGTCTGAAAAACCTCCAAGGATGGAGATTCCACCACCTCTCTGGGCAGCCTGCCTATGTTTTACTACCATACTAGTGAAAAAGCTTTTCCAAATATCGAATGTAAGCCTCCCTTGCTGCAACTTGAGACCACTGTTCCTGGTTCTGTCATCTGCCACTACTGAGAACAGTTTTAGACCTTTCCTCTTTGGATCCACCTTTCAGGCAGTTGAAGGTTGCTACTACATCCCCCCTCAATCTTCTCTTCTCCAAATTAAATAAAGTTAGTTCCCTCAGCTTCTCCTCAGAAGTCACGTGCCTCAGTCTCCTAAACATTTTCCTCTCTCTCTGCGGGGCTCTCTCCAATTTGTTTACATTCTTTCTTTAGTGGGGGACCCCAAACTAGACACCAGACTCTACATGCAGCCTCACCAGTGCTGAATAGAGAGGAAGAATCACTTCCCTCAATCTGCTGACAATGCTCCTACTAATTGAGCCCAATTTGCCATTAGCCTTCCTAGCAATAAGGGCACACTGTTGGCTCATCTTCAGCTTCACTGTAAGCCCAAGGTCCTTTTGTGTAGATCAGCTGCTTAGCCAGTCGGTACCCAGCCTGTACCAGTGCATGGGATTGTTCCATCTTAAGTGCAGGACTTTGCATTATTGAACCTCATGAGATTTCTTTTGGTCTAATCCTCTAATTTGTCAAGGTTTCTCTGAATCCCAGCCCTACCCTCCAGAGTATCTACTGCGCCCCTGCAGCTTAGTTTCATTTGCAAACTTGCTGAGGGTCCAACTCCATCACATCTTCCAGGTCATTGATGAAGATATTGAACAAAATCAGCCCCAAGACTGATCCCATGGACATTCCAGTTGATACCAGCTGCCATCTAGACACTGAGTCATCATTACCTTCTGAGCCCGACAATCCAGCCAGTTTTCTATCCACCTTGCAGTCCATTCACATAACCCATGCTTCCTTAGCTTGCTTGCAAGAATGTTGTGGGAGACCGTATCTAAAACCTTGCTAAAGTCAAGGATCCACTGCTCTCCCAGAATCTACAGAGCCAGTCACGTCAACATAGAAGGCAATCAGGCATGATTTGCCCTTGCTGACTGTTCCTAATCACTTTCTCCTCTTCCAAGTGATTAGAAATGGAAGCATCCATTTTTTTTGGTCCACTTCCCCTTTTTTGTGGAATACACTTGCTTTGTGTCTCCATTTTTCTTAAAGTTACAGGTGAGCAAAAAGGTTTTTAAATTGCTAAAAAGTGTTTTGTCTACTCTTCCGTATGTCAATAATCGCTAAACTGACTGCATACTTCCAAAATAGTTCTTCCCCCCACTTTTTTTTTTAAACAAACATATGAAGGGGTAGAAATAAACTGCCCCAGTAAATTTATGGGTTTTTTATTAATTTATTCCAGCAGTACAAAAATGAAACACAATGCTCAGGAATTATTTGTAGAACTTAGAACATTACATCTTAAGTTATGAGTAGTAACTCAAACTAAAGTCAGAAGGTCATTTCCATACATTTCTCATGTTACCCTTTTGCTCTTATCTCCTAATGACCCAAACATATACTCCACCCATTAAACTGATGCAACTCTTGTATCCAATATACAACCCTATCACAAATATGAAACCCAATACTGAAAAGTATTTCTGCTTTTTCCTAGAATAAGGAAATAAGTATTTCTTTCTATGTCCTAGAATAAGGAACTTTAAAAAATATTATTATATTTTTGTTTTGTAAGCACAGTCCCTTCCTTTATCTGCCCTTAACAGAAATTCTTCTGTATACCAAAGAATTAAATACTTTTGTACCACTCCCATCCCTGAATAACATTCTTCTAACCAGCAGGTGGAGGTAGAAATGCATTAAAGATTTAAGTTTAATTTTTGGTGTCCTTTTCATTCTATCCTGGACATTCCAATTTTGAAAACATTTTTCAGCACAAAGAAATACTACTTAAAAAGGCCATTAACTTGTTTTGTAAATTAAGATAGGAAAGGAAAACACTGTTAATGTGACTTTGTTTACATCAACATGAACAATGGCCATCATTTTGATAAGAAATGACCAACATTTCATAAATACAAGAAACTGGAAGAAATTTTCACCACTGACTCTAGCTTCTTGCTATCACAGGCATCCCATCATACAATCTCATTAACGAGTGCCTAAAGTTAGGCTCCAAAATTCTTAAGACACCTAAAAAAAAAAAAAAAAATCACACCACGCTTCTAAAGGGGTTGAATTATTTCAATTCTCAAGTCAATAGGAGCCAAAGGTACCCCCTCCTCCCCTCTATTTTGGACTGATTTAGCGACCATCATAACCTCAAGGACAAACTACTGCAATATGCTCTTAAAATGGCTTGGCTTCAGTGACTGTCTGCCTCTGATGCAGAACATGGCAGCCCAGTTTATCTTGGGGGGAGGGAAGGAAGGTGAGGAGTCTGTCAGGAGCATGTAACCTAACGCTCCAGAATCTGAACTGGCTCCCAGTAGTTTTCTGTATAGAATGCAAGGTACTAGTTTTGACCCACAGGGCCCTGAACAGCCTGGTCTCTACATATCTAAGGGACTACACCTTCTACTTTATGCCCCATTGGGATGCCGAGAACAACCTCCTACTTCAGTGCATCAAGTCTGCTTGGCAAAAACAAGTACAGGGTCATTGCCAAACACTTGCCGACAGTGCTTGGAACTCTCTCTTCCCCTTGAAGTCTATCTATCAGAGTCCATGCCTGGGCGTCTCTTTGAAACGCTGTAAGTTCTTGCTCTTTGGGCCAGCATTTAGGGTGACATCAGTCAAAAACAAAAACAGAAACAATCTTTAAAAAATAGGCTACTTCTATACACATCAAAAAACTGGATTAAGGAGACAATACTTAAAAACCTAGCTTTGAAAAAATGTTGGCCAATTGCTGTTTTCAGCTGTAACTAAAAAAAAAAATAATCTGTGAAGTAAATTTAGGTCAGTTTGTGTCTGATTATATAAATGTAATGATTTCCATACCTCTTAGGAAAGAAATTAACAAAATTAAATTTTCAGTGAATTTTCAATGTAACCTATTTTAAGTATAGAAGTTAAGTATTTAAAAAGTACTCCTTGATATTTGAGAACATTATCAATTTAATCTACAACTAAAATTAGCCTAAATTCAAAATGAGATTAAATTTAGTCTGATTCCATGTTTAGTCTGATTCCACGTTTTCCATGTCATTATTTAACAAATAGTAATAAAGAGTGATGAAATGAAAGAGGAAAACTTACAACTCGAAAACCATGTAAAGCATTCCATCTGAACTGTATGTTTCCAATAATTCAACAATATGGGGATGTTTCAGCATGTGACAAATACTGGCTTCCCTCTTCAGATCTGTAAAAAGATGACAGAATACTGTATTAGCCGTCTTGAAAATAACATAGATTAGTTTGATACATCCGGTTTGTAACACATGGGGAGAGGAGGGAGAGGAGAGAGAGAGAATGAATAACATTGTGTGGGAAGGTGCAGACATCTTTGACATTATTTCCCAAACAGACTAACTTCTAAAATGAAAATTGAGATGATGACGACAAACTATTTTGCACTGGAATTTGAGAGCATGGCTTTCTAGGAAATGGAAATTTCTTTTTAAACAAATTCAAAGTCAGAAAATCATAATTGTCAGTGGAAAAGAAAAATTAATAAATTATATAAATCTCTTTTTCTAAAATACAGTTATGGAATTCCATGCAGCCCATAATTGATCTTTATGCACTGAGATCATGTTAAATCTCACTGGAAAGTAGTCTTTTAATACAAAAGACAGCAATTACTCTCCCCCTGCTAGAGCAATAATCATTTTAAAAACCATTAAAGAGTAGGCATATTACGGCGATTACATTCTTAAAAATTGGGTTAATAGGTGGATGGGGGAAAAAGAATCAAAGATACTAATGATCAGTATATATCAAGCGCTCACCAATGTAATAACAATGTCGCCAATTTGAACTATAATACTTCAGTTTGGATATCCTCTTTTTACAATATTTCTATAAAATCAGAACAAAAATCATGATTAAACTAAAAAAATCTTTAGCAATACAGAATATTCAAATTAAATTACTGTCTTCTTTCTAGATAATTTTAAAAATAATTCCATGCAGCACATTTTTAAAATTTTTCTTAATTATCAGTGTGCTTTTTCACTGCATTACCACCAGGCTCCATGAAAAGGCCTCTTCCCTTTCCAAAACATCAGTTCAAATTCTAGAAGAGCAAAACTTGTCATCAATATTTTATCTTTACTGGATATTTTGTTTGGCCTGTTGTTAAAAGGAAAAATGTCAATCAGTAACTTCAGGTATTAAGTTTTAGGATGTGGACACAAAACACATTTACTTCAGTGTAGAATGACCCACAACCTTACAACCCACAGTCTTATATCATTATAAGCTGCTTAACTCCAATGCAAGGTTACCCTGCAGAAAATGAGAAGTAGCCAAACACTAGTGTAAACAGCAATGATTTACTGGTCCTAGGTCTGTTCCCACAGTGTGCTCCCTAGACCATTATCTGCTCAATGTAGACACAGGCTTCCCTGCCACCTAGTGGCCAGGTACTACAATACTGCCTACTTGAGAGACCTAGCTTAGGAAAATCGGCTGTCATCTGCTCCTTCCTAAAGAGTAAAATCTGGGGCAAATTACTTCATATTAAGCGTGTTATGTGTCTGCACCCTTAAGCTTTCATTTCTGTTTGCTATAGAACCACTGATCTAGAATTACCTAAATGCAGCTTCTTTACTGGAGAAGACAAATTATAATGCTTTCATGGCTTGGGGTCTTTTCCCTTGTGTTACTGGGAGGAAGCAAAGCATCTAAAATGTGCTAAACCACCCAGAAAGAAAAACAATGCTATACATATATATCAGGTCACATTTGTGATATGAATCAGCAGCAGTTAGGTATCAGAGGAAGTGGTACGAATGTGTAATTAATATGCATTTTATTTTGTGCCCTTTGAAGCACTTTATAAAAACACCACCAAATTTTCATACTCTTATTTTACTTCTCTAAATGACCGAGAACCTTAAAATCCAATGAAACTTCAGTTCAAGATACATATTTCTGACCAAAGCATACTTAACTATTTCTCAATTAATATAATCAACATAATGCTTTATATTTGGAGTACGGAATACCTTTCCCAAAACCTTACAAACTTAAACTGAAGAACAAACAGCACAGTAATCACCAGGGATCCTGGTTTTCTGTTAAAAATGATAAATTCTCTGATTTAAAACCCCAAGAACAGTGATTAAAATGAAATACTATAAGTATCAATTGAACGCAATGTTTTATTAGTATATTTAACGTTTTAAAGCAATTTGGAAGTTTACCAGTGCCTCAATAACTATAATAAAATAAATTCTAAATACCTATACATTTTGACATTTTATCTTGGGTTTTTTATGGAAAAAATCAGAGTGCTCCCTGCCTCCTTCACTCACCAGGATGTGGGTCCAGCTGCGGCTGTCACCAGACACTGCTTTGTGGTGCTGAACAGCCTGAACATGCCAGTGCCCTTCCCATGCCATTGCCCCTCTCTCCCAACCCACAGGCCCCCAACCCTGCTGGTGTCCCTCACTCCCATGCCACAGCCTCCTTGGCCCTGCTGGTACTCCTCACTCCCCACCCAGTCCCCCACCCCCTCCAGAGGGAGCCCCCAGCTGCCAGGGCTACGGGGTCAGGGACCTAGGTCTGCAGCCCTGTGCCCCCGCAGCAGCACCCAAGCCCTGGCTGCTGCCTGTGGGAAGCAGTAGCAGCAGCTGGGGCAGAGTGGAGCACGGAGCCCAGCTCCCTCTCCCCGAGGCAGCACAGCTGGAGTGGAGCCCATGGAGGGAGGCGGATGTGGGCTGCCCACTGCGGTTTTGAGGCTCCCTGCCCTGATCCTACTTCCCCCAACCCAGGCCTCTGCAGCCCAGGGGGCAAGATCCAGAGTGGCAGTGCAGAGTGGGGCTTGTGCCATTGCTGGGAGCTCCATGCTGCCATGGTGAGGTGTACCCTGCCCACTCGGCTACAGCGAGGGGCACAACTCCATGCCACTACTCCTGCTGCTGTTGGGTGGGCAGGGGAGCTTCACTATGGCTAAACTGTGGCATGAGTGGCACAGGCAGCCCGCATGTGTGGCATGCAGCAAATTGGGGAGGAGACAGGCAACACAGTGGAAGATGGGAGGGAGCAGAAAGCAGACTCGATTAGTCAGGGAACACAGGGTGCATCTCCTTGTGCCCCCGACTGTGCAGTTGTTACCATGCAGTCATTTAGTACTTGCTTTAGCTATAGCAAGTACTAAATGACTGCGCAGTAACACCCATTACTGTGCAGTCCTGGTGGCCCACAGATTGGCACTGTAACATCGACATCACAATTTGTGCCTGCCAATGCTATGTCGCCTTAATGACAAGCTACGTAACTGTAGCTCGTTGCTATGGTTATGTAGCATCTTGTGTAGATGCACCCACAGGGCAGGAAGCAGGAAGCTGAGCAGCAGACTGGATCAACCACGTCATCACTGGACCAAATAACATTATAATTTTTTTTTTTAATTTTGTGTTTTAGGCCAAATCACCTACCAATTCTATCAGCTGAGCAGAGCTCAGTGGTTCAAGTCTGTGTGGAGCTATAACCAGCAAGTATCCTATGTCCCAGACTCTTCAGCCCGGGGCTTCAGATACTCTCAAATCCACAGTAGGTATCCTACATGCAAGCCCCAAGCCTGAAGACTGTGGAGTTCAGATGCTCCCTAGTCTCACTTGCCCCTAGCCAAAAGGTCAAAGGAACAAGCTAAGGGAAAATCCTGAGAGCACTCCCCCCATCACCATAAACTGTGTAGCCAAGATCCTCGTGTTTGGAGGCATTTCATAAAATCACAGAAAGTTAGGGTTGGAAGGGACCTCAAGGTGATCATCTAGTCCAACCCCCTGCTCAAAGCAGGACCATCCCCAACTAGATCATCCCAGCCAAAACTTTGTCTAGCTAGGTTTTGAAAACCTCAAGGGAAGGAGCTTCTACCACCACCACTTCTCTGGGTAACCTGTTCCAGTGTTTTACTACCCTCCTAGTGAGAAAATTCTTCCTAATATCTAACCTAAACTTCCCTTGCTGCAATTTGAGACCATTGCTCCTTGTTCTGTCATCTGCCACCACTGAGAACAGTTTAGTCCATCCCTTTTTAAACCCACTTCAGGTAGTTGAAGGCTGCTTTTAAGTCCCCTCTAGGTCTCCTCTTCTTTACACTAAAATTTGTAGACTTTTGAAGGACTCGGCCTGCCTGCAGTGCAAAAGGACAGGCCTTCACCCTCTAACTACACCAAGCCAATTCAAGGCCAAGAAAAAGAGCATCTCTCCTGCCAGGTAAGTAAAACTGCCTAGGCAGAAAATCACCTCATAGTATCATCTCTCCTGGTTCATTCACTTGTAATCTTACCCATGTCATATATGCCACCATCTGCTCACAGTGTCTGTCTGCTGTCTACACCAGACAGAGAGGGTGATTCCTACATCATACAATAAACAAGCACTTATGTGACATCAGCTGCAGAAAGACACAGAGGCCTCAGGCAGTACACTAACTTCCCTGGACATTCCACCTGTGGGTGACTCTTCTCAGGCAGCAAACCTTTAAAAACTGATTTAAATTAGAAACTGCAGAACAAGAAATCATCCACAGACTCTACTGTGTTAAGTACAATTTAAAGAGGGACTATAGATTTATCCTATTGCCAGGATTAGTTTTTGTAACTCCTTTGTTTCTTTGGGTTTATTGCATGCATGCTTGCCTCCCTATCTCTCGTCTATCCCCTCTTCTGTTTTTATATTCAAATTTCTCTCCTTATACACAGCAACTTTTCACAACATCTGATAAAGTTAGCTTCAGTCTAGGAAAACTTTGGCTAGCCCATAAAATGCAAATCTACCCTGTTTTCTATTCCACTTCAGGCTAACACAGCTAACTACATCTCAGATGAAGGTGATCACAGTGGCACTTAGGGAGAGCGTGGGACTAACCTGTGCCATGCCTGCCAAAAAGGTTAGCCCCCAACTACCTGCTAAATCAGGTGTCAAACCGTCAGAGCCAGCCCAGTCTGGCCTGAAGGCACACGCCAGTAGGCCGGGCCAGCTCTATGCTGCCCAGGGGCTCTGCTTGCCACAGCCATGAGCATCCTAAGGGGCCTGCCAGCACCAGGGACTGTGCACCATGTGGGGGATGTGGTGGAGGGCCCATACCCACCCACAAACCCCCCCCTGCAGGCAGGAGCTCCCCTCCCTACTCACCAGCTGTCCAGTCATGCACCACTGCACACGGTGTCTCCACATGGGGCTCCCAGC